GACTGCTCAAGGGCCGGCTCCAGGGCCGGCGGAGGACAGGCCGGCGCGTGCGGCTTCACCTTCTTCTTCCTTGGCTTGGGAGCCATGGCGACTACCGAGAGAGGACAAGGCGCCGACACTAGATCTATGGACGCGGCGGCGAGATTGGGGAGGAAGAAACAAGAGCTGGGCACGATACACCATGAAGGGCGAGTTGCGCTGACAACGGGCGGCTGCTGGGTCTACCGGATATCAAGGCGACGTGGGGAAGTAGAGACGCCCATGTCCCGTCAACCTCCACGTGTCTTCAGGGCCGCAGGCTGTTAGGGCCCGCGACGCTCCGTCCTTGCCCTTTGGCTTCGCCTGGAAGCCAAGTCTGAGCGCGCCTTGGGCCTGGGGGCTACTGTCGGCGTCCTGGACTTGGGGGTATCCAGTCCTACCTGCATGTGGCCCACCACGTGGCTCCATCGACGGCCTGGTGCGGCCCAGTTTCAACATCAACACTGCAAGACCCTCGCGAGGGGCCAAGCCTCATGAGGCGGACGACGCCAAGACTCCTGAAGGAGTTGGCCTCCTCAGGAGGGCTCCTGAGGGGCGGAGAGATCTATGCAGCTACCTCATGAGGCTCAGCTGACGTGAGCCAGGCAGGCGCAGAGCGCAGGTTTCCTCTTCGGTGCAAGGGGGCAAGCCACAGGCGCGGAGTCCCAAGGAATCAGCCAAAGGTTTCCATTTCAGTGCAACGAGACCAAGACCGCCAGGACGGCAAGACGGAGGTCATCACTGAGCCCACCGCAGCGTCACAGCCAGAGGCTTTTCGCAGGCGAAGACTACTTTTGTCAAGACAGACTGTACTACTTGTCCCCCTTCAAGTCCCGCTGTTGTGGAATCCCTTCCCGCTCATATTTGGGAAGAGAACCAAGGCGACTATATATAGGACTTAGCCACCACAATAGTGGAGAGAGATCCATTCCACCCCGAGCACCACACCACCTCAAGAACACCTCACCTCCTGAGGCTTGTTAATCCTTTGTACTAGTTCATCCATAGCCCTTCGAGGCAATCCACCGCACCACACTAGATTAGGGTGTTACACCATAACGGTGGCCCGAACCAGTATAAATCTCTGTGTCTTTGTGTCTCTGTGAGCTCTACGCGCTAGGCCAGGGAGGATCGCGAGTAGGCAGGCTGGACAGGTTGAGATCTCCGCACGCACCCCAGTGTTCGAACCTCTCACGGGTTGCCGGATACCGAAATCCGACAGTATCCTCGCCATGGACATATGATCCATCGACATTAAGCTTCACCCAGCCCAACGGCGGTTTCTCCCAAGGAATAACAGCCGCAACACTAGGAGATGCCGCTATACTCCTGACCACGTGCAACACTTCCTGAACCACCATTTTGCCTTTGAGCATATCTCCTTTTGGATGTTGCTTGATACACGATAGGGATTTAATGTACCTATTCAGGAATCTTCGTGAACTCTCGACTGGCGGTGCAGGTTTGTGGTGTGTGACTTCGTTTCGGCAATACCAAGCTCGCCAAAAGGTCATGAGGATGATCAGCCGCTGCAGCTCAGTGCTGTTGTCCAGGAGATGAAGTAGCCATTCTTTGCCGGTGTTCATTACGGTTTCCAGGTCCCGGAGTGGCCATGACTCCTTCATGGCATCCCAGAGAGCGCGCGCCATGGGGCACCTGCACACGGCGTGGAAGGTGTCCTCCCGCACATATTTCTCTTTTTTGAATGATTTGAAGATTGCTCACCACGTCTGCCACGCGGTGCGCGTAGATTGGTTTTTCTTTTTAGGGAACTACAGCGGGCAAAGCCAGCTTATGCGGTAGTTACTTTTACATATATAAGTATGTTTGCAGGTTTAGTTTTCTTGCTTTCGGTCGTTTATCATACTGTGTAGAACTGTGGCGGTTTCTTCAATGAAAATCGACAGGAAGCTCATTGTTTCAAAAATAGAAAAAACTCCGGAAAAAGATCCGTACAACTCCTCTGCTTAGAACCCCTCAAAAAGAAAAGAAAAAAAGAACTCCGCTTAGAGCACAAGCGTGGCCACTGACTCTCTCTAAAAAAAAAGCGTGGCCACTGACTGGCCAGGGCATTGCACTTTGCACGTACGACCGTGTCACGCCAGCTGCTCTTGGATGCCTCGAAGTGCCACGGTGATGGCGGCAAACGAAGGCCTCCTCGAAGGCTCCGCGTCCCACGCCCGGCAGATGAGATCAACCAGGGCTCCGGTGGCAGCATCCGCGTCGCTTTCCGGGAGCCTCGGCCTCAGTTTTCCATCCGCTACCTCCAACGCAATCTGTGAAGCGCAACAATGCAGACACACCGAGTCAGCCAGCTCGATCGATCGAAAAGGTAATGGCAATGCAGCTCGTGCCCGCGATTATACCTTGCTAGGCCCATAGCTGGTGTCTATGTACGGGTGCTCCCCGGTGACGAGCTCGTTGAGCATGACGCCGAAGCTGTACACGTCGCACTTCTCCGTGTACGGCTCGCAGCGGATCACCTCGGGCGCCATGTACACGTACGTCCCTGACAAGACGTTCAGATCATGAACTGCCACGGGAGAAGTCGAGAAATTCGCCGGCATGCATGCATATGCATGGGCAAGGCGAGTGGTATCTTACCGGTTTCGCCGGTGAGCGCCTGCGCGCCGTCCGGCAGGAACCTGGCGTGGCCGAAGTCCGCGACCCGCGCGCGCGAGTCGGCGTCCAGCAGCACGTTGCTCGGCTTCAGGTCCCGGTGCAGCACCCGCGGCGTCTGCTCGTGGAGGTGCCGCATCGCCAGCGCGATCTCCAGCGCCATGCTCACCCTCTGCGCCAGCGGCCGCGCCGGCGACGGTGGCGGCAGCAGCTCCTTCCTGCGGCGCTCCTTGCCCCCGTGCAGCCACTCCCCCAGCGTGGCGCCGCTCAGGAGCTCCGTCACCAGGAAGCAGCTGTCCGGCGGGCGCAGGCACGCGCCCATCAGCCGCAGCACGTGCGGGTGCCGCTGCCGGGAGAGGACGTCCAGCTCCTGCGCGAAGAAGGCCTCGGCGCTCGGGTTGGAGCGGAGGAGCTCCGGCCTGATCCACTTCACAGCCACGTCGAGCCCCCTCCACGTCGCCCGGTGTATGTCCGCCGTTGTCCCGCGGCCTATCGCCTCCTGCAGCTCGATCTGTTTCACGCTCCCGGAACAGCACGCGGTAAGAAAGAAAACCCGATCGATATGCACGCACGACATTTGCATCTTATTGACTCGTTACCTCGTCCGGTGCGACGGACCAGCCGTGCTGCGCCGCAAGGTCTCTCGTGGCGGCCAAGTACGGGTCGCAGGGCAGCGCTTCCATCGATTCCGGTTCTTCGTCCCCGTCCTCGTCGTCGGCCGCCGCCACGGCCTCCGCGTCGTCATCGATGCGGGGCGAGTGCTGCTCGTCGTTGGAGGCAGCGGACATGAGGTGCAGGAAGCCGTGCTCCTGGGCGACCTCGAGGCAGAACCGGAGGTACTCCTGCGCGTTCTCCAGACGGGCCTTGTACGTCTCCTTGAGATCGCTCTGCCTCTGCAGCTCCTCCTTGAGCTTCGCGACCTTGACAACACAGAGCTAGAATCAACCACTGCAAAACCAGGGATCATTTCCTCGAGTTGCACATGCTGCAGAGTATACAGTATGTGTGTACCTGTTCGCAGCAGTCATGGTTGGGTGAGGGCGAGGAGAAGATGCCGGCGAGACGGCCACGGAGCCCGCGGTGCTCGTGCCGCGTGCGCTGCCCGTTGCCCGTCGGCGTGCTCTCCATGGCCAGCGGGAGGTTTCGGTTCAGGCCGTTATGCGGTTCGACCTTGATATTGAATGGAGAAAAGGCGGATGAGATTGGAAGGGAGTGACAGTGCAAGGTGTAAGCAGACAAGAGGTGCGGTTTATCCAATGCAATGCGCACAAGAGTTTTGGATTTTTCGTAGCAGAAGCATGAATGCGATTGGTGGCATTTTCGAACTGGTAGGTTTTTTTTAGACATATTTTCGAACTGGTAGGTTTCATTTTCCGGTTAAGTCGTAGAGTCTGCATATTCTTCGGCTGCTTCCGGAACTGGCCAGATTTTATACAGCAGGCAACACAAATTTTCCAACGCTACCTAGCTGATTGCCAAAACCCTATTTGGCGTTTTTTTGAGACATATTTGGCTCTTAACGTGCCACAAAAGGCTAAATGGTAAAAAGCGCACACCCCATCCTACGCTGGTCTTATTAGAGCATCTCCAGCCGTTGTCCCCAAGGGGCGCTTAAAATCGTCGCCTGGGGAAGAGCCGGCGCAAAAAAAAACAATCTTGGAGGAAGTTGGTCCCCAGTCGCCGGCCCTAGGGCCGCCCCTAGGCGCGTTTTTTCTTTTTAAAAAAAAGTTCGGTGAAGTTCGGTTAAACACGGCTAAATTTTGTTAAACTTCGGCATATACTCCGTTCCTCAATATAAGGTGTATTATTTTTTTCAAAAAGTCAAACTTCTCTAAATTTGACCAAGTTTATAGACAAAAATATCAATATCTAGAATACCAAATCATTATCACTAGATACATCATAAACTATATTTTTACATTTTATATATTTAGTATTATAAATCTTCATATATTTTGCTGTAAACTTGGTCAAACATAGATAACAGTTGACTTTTTGAAAAACTAATACACCTTATATTTAGGAACGGAGGGACATGTTCACGACGCGTTACATAAAACTAAAAAAAGAAATCGCTGAACACAGAGTAGTCGTCGTTGTCGTCGCCGCCATCCTCGCCGCCCCCGTCGTCGGCGGCCTTCTCCTCCTTGACGCGGTCGTCCCTGCTGCACCCCTGCCCGGCGTTGCCATGGCGGACAGGTGCCGTCGGCGGTGGCGCGTCGTCATCGCTGTCGTCGAGGACGACGACTCCTCCTTCTTCGCGGCCCCGGCGGCGTTGCTCGAAGCGCCGATGTGCGGCGACCTGGCGTTTCCTCTCCATCCCGAGGAAGTCCTTGCGCGCCCATTTCAGGGCCACATCGTCGTCGAGCTCCACCTCGTCGGGCTCCGTCTTCACAGCGGGGAGCCCCGGCTCCGTTTTCACCGGCGCGAGACCCGGCTCCGTCTTCGGCTTGACGAAGCGCGGAGGAGCCGACGAGGGGGCGCATCGGCCGCCTTCGTTGATGACGATGTCGGCGCTGCGAGTGCGCCGGCCGAGCGGCCTCTCCGCCGCGGGCTCGGCCTTGACGCCGAGCAGCGCCGAAGAGCCGGAGGAGTGGTAAGAGGATCACGACGAGGAGGAGGAAGACGATGAAGAGACGAACCTCCTGGGCAGCCATTGCCCGGCGCGTCGGCGGTGGGACGGGGCCGGGGCCGCCGGGGGAGGGTATGCCAGTGGCGGCTCGTTGCCGCCCTCGAGGTGCGCCAGCACGCTGTCGAGAGTGGAGCCGAGGACGCCCCACCACACGCGGCGCCCCTCGCCGTTCTTCATGCCACCCACCACCGGCGCCCCGTTGGTGGACGCCAGCCTCTGCTCCTGTCGGCGCTCGAAGTACGTCGCCCATGCCGAGTGGTTGTCGGCGGCGTACTGGGGGAGGGCGCACTCCTCATCGGTGAGGGAGGCGCGCGCGAGCTCGACCTCGTCGGCGAAGTAGGCGGTTCGCGCCACGGCATCGGGCAACGGGGGAACGGGCACTCCCCCGTTACTGAGCCGCCACCCCGACGGCTCGGCACGCATGTCCGGCAGCGCCGGGATGTTGGCCTCGAACAGGAGCCAGGACTCCTATTCGCGAAGCGAGCGGCGGCCGAAGCCGTTGGCCGCCGCCTCGTCGCCGAGGAAGCGTTCGACCATTGGGGGGCTGTCGGAGGGAGGGCTCGAAGGCGACGCACGGGAGAAGGAGAGGGAGGGCTCGACGGAGGCGGTGCACGGCAGAGGGAGAGAGCTGGGCGGCTAGGGCAGGTGTGGCCTGAGGCGAGGGAGGGCACTGGCTTATATAGCCGTGCCCGTGTGTACGCGTGACGCGAGGGGAGGCGTCGCCGCGCCACCCCGTGACGCACCAACCGTGAGAAATCAATGGCAAGGCTGACCGGCGGCGACAGCCTTGGCAGTGATTCCCGCGGGAACCGAGAAGATGAGGGCGACGAAGCGCCCGTCTCGCTGACGCAGCGGGCCCGCGGCTGCTTCATGGCAAAACCACTCGCCCCGGCGACCCCGGGCGCCCTCCAGCGCGCCGGGTTCGGCCTGGGTCCGCCGGCGCTGATTTCGGCCCACGCCGGCGAAAATCAGGCTCCTGTGGGTGCGATTGGACCGTTTTTTCGACGCCGGCGTAAAAAAATCGCCTTGAGAGGCTGTTCTGGGGGAGCGGCTGGAGATGCTCTTAGTGGCAAGCCCACCAGGTATAATGCTTTTACACAATCTCCAGCCAGGAAGCTTCTAGAAGCTCTCGACCAGTTTTATGAAGCTTTTAGAAGCAACGTGCAACAATTTATTGTTTTTCGTTTTTCAAATTCCTGATCACCTTTAGGAATCTTGATTTTTTTTATTGCAGAACATTTTTCAAATCACGAACCCCTTTTCAAATACATGAGCAATTTCAAATATGTGAAAATTTCTTGAAATGTGTAAACTTTTTTCAAATTGCAAACATTATTTCAAGTGAACTTTCTTCAAATTTATAAACTTTTTCGAATCTGTGAAGATCTTTCAAATTCATGAACACTTTTTCAAATCTGTGGACATTTATTCAAAATTACGTTTTTTTTAAATAAACATTTCGTCTGAAACAAAAAACCAGCCAAAAAGACCTACCCGTGAAGAACGGAAATACTGATGGGTCGCGCGACCAATACGCGCTGGTTCGCTAGCGGGCTGTTAAGTATACGGTCATTATCTTGGGGGGAAGTCTCTAGCTGATTATAAGTATATATGGACGGAGAAGAGTGGAATTCACCAGACGTAGGTATTTAGTCATTTTTTTTTTGGCTGGAACCCTAGCCGCCGCCAGGGGAGACCGATCTTCCAACGCCGCTCTCTGGTGGCTCCCCTCCGCCGGCGACCTCGGTCGTTGGTGGTGAGGGGGTTGCCGGATCCACGCGTGTGGATCGTTTTTACTCTCTCGTAGTCTAGGTTTTTAGGTTGTTCATCGTCTTTGCTTCGGCGGCGACGATGACAACGCTGAATAAAGATTCTTCGGATCCTTTCCTAACGAGGCCATCGGTCCTATGGTTGGGGATGGATTTGGAAATCAGTCTGTTCAAGCAAGGATGGCGTGGCGGCGGCGGCATCCTCGTGGTGGACCTGTGTCCTCGGGTTCCGCCGTTGCAACGACGTTTGCTCCAGCGTCGGTGCGGAGCTTGGGAGGTAGTTAAGGAGCGGATGCAGATTGTGGTCTGCATCGACGACATCTGGAAGACGGAGCATGTGCTGGGCTCGTGGTTGGTGGATGGCAGATATGGTTTCCTCCTTCGGCGTTTTAGTCGTGGTGGGTTGCTAGATCTGAAGTTTTGATGGTGTGTCCGGGGTGTTGCCCCGGTCTGATTCGTTCAACGGTAAGGGTTTCACTTTTGGTGAGCCACCTTGGAGGTCCGTAAAGCTGCATATCAGCGATGGAGCCACGTCGAGCTCGGGTGAGGAGGTGATTCGTCATTTTTTTCTTCGGTGGCTGCTGCGGTGGTGCCGGAGGCAGGTGACGGATGTTGGTGTCAAGCTCAGAGATGTTCTGCTATCTTTTCAGTCTTGTCATGTCGGTCTTTACGTGACTTGTACTTTGTTCTTTATGATATGAATGAGACACGTATTACCATGCAAAAAAAAGGTATTTAGTCATTTTTTCAATAAAATCCATATACTACCATATACTCTCAAAATACCAGTAAATACCAACAATATTACGGATAATTTTTATAATTTCTTTTTTCAAAAAAATCCAAACAACCAAAATACTTCGAAATAAATTTCAAATAACCATAACAAAACTACACAATTTTAGTAAATTATTTAAACTAGAAAAAAAACTTCTGAAATTCATTGAAATATGAGTGACATATTACAAATTTTTCTGAGGCATGTGGAATGTTCCTGAAAAAATTGATTGCATAAAGCATACAAAAGTTTAGTTTTTTTCTCAAAATTTATAAATTATATTTTAAAACTTTTTAGAACAATAAATGTCACTAAAACAATCATAAAACATGAATAAAATTAAAATTTTGACTCAAATAAATACTCCTTCCAATCCAAATTAATTGTCCCTCGAATGGGTGTATCTAGATACATCCATTTGAGCGACAAGTAATATGGATCGGTGGGAGTATTCAATTTTCAATTCAAATGTATTCGTGGCACTTCTAAAATATAAATTGTTTCAAAAAAATTGAATTATTTTTCTGAAATTTACTTGTTATTTTTTATAATAACCTCACAAATTTCAGTTGTTTCAATCCATGTCAAAATATTGCACATAGTTACCAAATATTTCAATCTTGTTTCAATAATTTTCAGTTATTTTGATTAGTTTTAAAAGTTATTTTTTGCATCTTTGATTTATTTAGTTTTTAGTTTCTGACTAGTTTCGGACCGGAATTGTTTGTGAAATGATGAAAATATTATTGAATGAACAAACAAAGTCTCTGAAAAAGTTAAGAAATATACATAGCCGTTACTAAATTTAAGAGAGAAGCATTATCAAATTTTATGACACATGTACTTCCTGAAATTTTGAAATCATTTTTTGCTGAAAAAAACTATCATTTGTTTGAAACCTATAGTTTTAAAAAAGGAACTTTTGTGTTTTTTTTGGATCTCACCAGAA